GATAATAACACATCATATAAATTAAAAAGAAAAAGGCCAACTCATATACCAAATTAGATTAGTATTTATATTTTTAATAAAAAAATAAAAAACTAAAAATTTACCTTAATGCCCATATCTCCCTTTCTTGATCCATCTTGTTCCCCTCTTTCGATCCATCTTCCTTTCTTTCTTCTTTCTCTTTCTTCTTTTTCTTTCTTCCTCTTCTTCCTCTTCTTACTCTTCTTTCTTCCTCTGTGTTGCTAGGTTCCCTCAAACTCAACTAATCTGGGTTCTCAAGGGAACCCAGCTCGGGTTCAATGGAATCCATCTGCTGGGTTCCTCGGGTTCCGTCGAACCCAAATCTGTTGGGTTTGAAGAACCCAGCAACTTAGTTTCACTAAACCCAGCTCCACTTTTTTTTTGTTTGGTTATATATTTGTTGCAAAGAGTTTATGTAAATTGCAGGTTGTAAGCAATTTTTGGGATCTTTTTGCTTCATATTTTCTAATTATTATCTAAATGATTTTAATATTCAAAATGGAAAGAACATTGCGGCAATGGAAAGAATAGAAGCAGTGACTGATGGGCAAAGAAGCAATTTTTAATGGGTTTCCATTTGCTTGGCTAAAAAATTGTATAGTTTAGATGTTTCGATGTTGAGAAAATGGTTCAATTTGTTTGGTTGCCGAGAAAAAATTGTAATGTTTATAAAGAAAATTTGATAAGAAAATTATGATTTAATTATAAATTAATTAGAATCTTAATTTTAATTAACATAAATAATTATAGTTTAATGATGATTGATTAGTGAAATTTGATTTGGCATCATTTTTTATCTATATAATCATTTATATTTAATTTAATTTGTTATATCATTAAAAAATATATAAAAAATACCACGTAATTTACCACATCATTAAAAGAATTATAAAAAATGTTATGTGATTAGAGTTAACAGTTTAAATTGACAGAATGACTAATATTATGCATTTCTTAGAGTTGAGAAATAAAAAAATGTGCACAAAATGCTTTAGGGACAAAAAATGTGCAAATCAATAAAGTTGGGAGACTAAAATTGTAAAAACGAGATATAGATACACTTTCCCTCTCTTCCATTTCTGTTTCTGCTAGCTTCTCGTTATGAAATTTCTTCCTTCCTCTGCAAAAGAAAATTTTCAGTGTTTTTGCTGAGAAAAAGTTCTTCGTGCTCATTACTCATTTCCTCCGCTCATTTGATTCAATATATTCGAATTCCGGACGGGAAATTTTTTTTTTTTTCCTCTTGAATTGGTATAAATTATAGGGTTTTCGGTATTGTTAGGTATGGGGGAAGTGAAAATGGAAGAGACTCCATTACCAGCTCTGTTTGAGCAAGCTCGGAAGATCCATTTGACGGTGACGGAGTCCGGTGCTGATCAGGTAAGCTCGTGCTCAGGCGTGATTTGATTTCCCGCTCCTTCACCCATTTTGTTGCCTTTCTGTGTTTCTTGATCTGATTGAGTGATAATGGAATGGTGCTACTGTTCCACAGGAGCTCGTAAGGAAGGGATGCGAAGCACTGGAGAAGTGTGAGGACATGATAAGCAGACTGGGATTGTTCTCATCGAATGAGACCAAAGACGACATCAGCACCGCTAATCTCAAGTATATCCTGGTAATCATCTTTTTTTTGCTGTTTCTTAGGTTTTTTTTTTTTTTTGATTTTGGGTTGATTGGATTTATGCAAAAACGATTAATTTCTCTATAGTTCAGGTTACCCTCTATAATAGTGTTAACAGCATTGATTTTAGTTTGAAAATTTGAAGTTCTAACGTACTTGACTGCTGATTCTTAGCTTTTTTCTTTTTTGGTGGGGTTGGGTGGGGGCAAGGTGTGCTTTTTAATATCTAGAGGTTCTTGATCACCAGACTATGTATAAGTGTCTATTTGCTATAAATTATTTTTATGAGTACTTCTAATAATTTCGTTCTATAGGTGCCTTATTATCTGGCAGAGCTGAATGAAAAACTTTCTGGGGAGGACCGGATACAGATTCTCAAGACTTCGCAGGCAAAATTGAAGGTGAATACTGTTGAATCATTGCCTGAGCTCTAGTTGAAAAACTTATTATGAAAGTGTAGCGGTAAAAATTGGCTTTATATTGCTTTTAACCTACGTTAAGTTTGGCAATGTATGTTTCAGGAGTTCCTTTTGTTCTGTGAAGTAATGGAACTTGTACCAGAAGAGGAGTTGCAAGCTTCTGCCCAAGGAAGTTCAAATTCTTTTGCTGATAGAAGAGCCCTCAAGGTACTTGTATTTCTTTTATTTGTTTCTGCTATCCTCCAGAAGCTTGAATCTTTTCATTGTTGAATATGTTGCTTATATATGGGTAGAATATGCACTTATGGCACTTTATAGTTTCTATCTCTGCCCATGTCAAGGTAGCCCGGTTCAAACGCCAAAGAGCTGCAGAAGCTAAGTTGATGGAAACAAAGCAGAGGAAGGAGAGGCGTGGATGTTCAACTAAAGTGGCTGCCTCATCCACTCCAGTTGAGGCTGGAGAGGAAGATGTGCTGGATGATGATGGAGAGGAAGAAAGGGAGGTTGGTTATTAGCTTCACTTGTATTAGCACCCTTCCTCTACATCTCTGTTCTATTTATTTATATGATAATTATTTATTTGGCACATGTTAACTTGCTTGTGCGGATACGTGTTTGAAATTGGAAATAAATGAAATAGGTACTCCTCTCTTGTAGCGTTTCTTTGTTTTTGCAAATAAGTTTGATGAATAAACCAAAGTCAGAAATTGCCCTTGGGGTACTGAATGGTACTAGCACATCATTTACCCCTATAGCATATTCAGATTGTTTAGAGAAGTAAAATTTCAAGTATCCTGTTCATACTTCAATTTTGTAAAACTTTGTGTTCCTCTAAATTCATAATATTGTTTTTGTGCAGGCTTGGCTTACTACCATCACTTTGGCCATTTGTAAGGTTGGTATTCTATTTCAGTGTGATACGTCATGTGTAACCTTTTGAAGCTCCTTTTTGATATATTTGCATCTTACCATTGTAGGCCTTTGATCTGGTTGATATGCTTAAGAAGGAAGAAGAAATGCTTTCTGCTATAAAGGAAATACAATTAAAGGTGCTTGTCTGCTCAAATAATGTGGCTTTGTATTGTTTTCATTATATATAATGCTTTCCAATGATTACATTCTTTGGTTATAACTTATAAGTTTTCGAAAGATTCATAAAAGTAGGATATAAATATCTTTCTAGTTACAAATTTAAAGCAAACATGTTGAATAATTGAATGTACAGAAAAATTTATGTATGTCAGTTATTTTGTTCTGTTACTTGTAAGAATACCACAACAGGCATTGAACTAGCAATCCCCTTGTCCTTTTTCTTATACTGGAATACAGGTCCTCTAACCCCTTTTGGATTTGGAAAGTTGTGTTCTGGCACTAGGCTGGTAGGCAGTTCTATTTTTAGGAAATTCTTCCATTTTAATTCCATTTGACCACCAGTTGATTGATAACACCTAGGGGTTATCTGGAAAATAACATAGTTTGTCTCTTGGTCTTTGTTTGTAACGTTTCCAGCATTGCCTTACCGGCAACCTGTTTATAGAAATCTTTATATGACTCTTTAAAACCTGACTTGTTTTGGCTGAAGAGTTTAAATATATCATGAATATTTAGTGGTAGTGCAGTGGTTTCTAATATTTAGTGGTAGTGCAGTGGTTTCTAGCATTTAGTGCATGGGTTGTATTGTTAATTTAATTTGTCACGAAAATTAGCTGATAGCTCTGCTTGAGGGGATGGATCATAAACATTTTAGTCAATATGCCTGTTTTGTTTATTTATTTTTTTGGCCTGATGCCAGGTTGATGGTTTTAACTATGGTTATATTTTTCCTTCTATTTCAGGAAGGGAACAAAGAATTTTCTCAGGATGCACTTGATAATTGCACCAAGAAAGCAGAGGCATGGCACCGTGATGCTGCAGCTCGTGCACAATATACTAAACCTGCAGAACCTATCACATGTGCTACATTTGCTCAAGATGTTTTAGAAGGGCGGGCAAAGGTCTCACAGGCTCATGACCATAAACACCAGCCTTTGATCTTCGGACCTCAAAGCCTCATCGGTAGAAGCCTAACAAGTGAGAGGGAAAGAATGGCAGCACAAGTTTTCCAGCCTGGTCATAGGTAAACTGTTGTTGAGAAATACTTAAGCAATATCCAAATTGAGTCTTTTGTACGTTATTATTTCTGTGTAGATTTATATCAGGATGGGGAAATACAAAGATCTTGCTCCCTTGTTACACATGTTACTGTAATGTGCAGGAATAGTTTGGATAATAAGCACAATAGAGTTTGCTTCCCTTCCAATGTAGCTTAAATGCTAAGTAAAGATAATGTGGCAGGTTACCAACCATGAGTATAGAGGAAGCTGGTCTAAGGGAAATGCAAATGATGAATGGGTGGCAGGAAAGAACTGCAAAAATGATGGAAGAAGCTAATTCCGCTTGGTACAAGGACAACCACAAATTGGGACCAAATGAAGATGATGAAGATGATGATGCAGCCCAGGATAAAGCAAGAGCATGGGATGACTGGAAAGATGATAATCCTCGTGGTGCAGGCAATAAGAAGCTTACCCCATGTGGGTAAAGATCAGGAAGTGTTTAAAGGCTTTATCACATATTCTTTCATAAAAAATTTAAGCAAAAATAAAAAAATAGAAAATAAAAAATCAATGGCAGTATCAGCTATCAGGAACATTGCTTAAATTTTATATTTATTTGATAGATTTGGGTCTGCTGATTGTTAGGTTTTTCTGTTTGAAGAACTAGCAGAGAGTATAATATCCATGCAGGCAGTAGAACACGTCTCTTTCTTCCAGGTTCTTTTTAGCGTTTGTATTGTATGCCCAATTGCCTAAGTACTTGAAATGAGTCTATTTGTTGGCAAACTTCATGAATTGTTCATACGTGAAACTCTGAGGCAAAGCAGTAATGGCTGTTATGGTGTCTGTATTTCTCCTTTGGGTTCTCATTCTAACCATGCTTGGGGTTATAAGGATGAAATCTTGGTGCTCAGGTTGATTTGGCCTCGCTATTGTTTTTGTAGAACTTTTGTTTGGGTGTATCTTTTGCTGCATATCTTTGCAAAAGTGCCTCTTTGTTTTTTCTTATCATAGGTTGCACAATAAAAAACAATTATTTCTAATCTCTTAACCGATCATACTCATTTGCTATGTGATTCAAATTCAAAAGGTTAAATGCTAAATTTGGTTCCTCAACTTTAGTGAGTTGCACATTTTTGGTCCCTTAACAATTTTTTGCACTTTTTTGATCCCTTAACTATATGAAATGCACTCCGTTAGTCTTTCTGTTAATTTCGATCGTTAACTCGCTCATGTGGCATTTTTTATTATTTTTTTGATGACGTGGCAAAAGCAAATTGAAAACATGTTGACGTGGAATTTTTTTTCATGCCAACTCACATTATTATTATTATTTATATTTTAAAAAAATAAACTAATATAATTGTTCATCTTCTTCCTTTCTCTTTTTC